TGGCTGGGGGGTCTTTTAGAAACAATTATTACGAGGAGTCCTTAGGGATAAACTGTTTAAAAGATACTGCAACACTGGGAGGTCTGGGGGGTATGGAATACCCCCCCAGGATAAAAAAGTGATTCACTGTCCTCTCAAAACCTATCAAAACCTTCGGGCGCTTGGTTGGGGGTCCTTTAGAAACAATTATTACGAGGGGTCCTTAGGCATAAACTGTTTAAAAGATAATGTAACACCGGGGGGTCTGGGGGGTATGGAATACTCCCCAGGATAAAAGAAGTGATTCACTGTCCTCTCAAAACCATCGGGCACTTGGCTGGGGGGTCTTTTAGAAACAATTATTACGAGGAGTCCTTAGGGATAAACTGTTTAAAAGATACTGCAACACTGGGAGGTCTGGGGGGTATGGAATACCCCCCCAGGATAAAAAAGTGATTCACTGTCCTCTCAAAACCTATCAAAACCTTCGGGCGCTTGGTTGGGGGTCCTTTAGAAACAATTATTACGAGGGGTCCTTAGGCATAAACTGTTTAAAAGATAATGTAACACCGGGGGGTCTGGGGGGTATGGAATACCCCCCCAGGATAAAAGAAGTGATTCACTGTCCTCTCAAAACCTTCGGGCACTTGGCTGGGGAGTCTTTTAGAAACAATTATTACGAGGAGTCCTTAGGCATAAACTGTTTAAAAGATAATGTAACACCGGGGGATCTGGGGGGTATGGAATGCCCCCCAGGATAAAAGAAGTGATTCATTGTCCTCTCAACACCTATCAAAACCTTCGGGCACTTGGCTGGGGGGTCTTTTAGAAACAATTATTACGAGGAGTCCTTAGGGATAAACTGTTTAAAAGATACTGTAACACCGGGGGGTATGGAATACCCCCCAGGATAAAAGAAGTGATTCATTGTCCTCTCAACACCTATCAAAACCTTCGGGCACTTGGCTGGGGGGTCTTTTAGAAACAATTATTACGAGGAGTCCTTAGGGATAAACTGTTTAAAAGATACTGCAACACTGGGAGGTCTGGGGGGTATGGAATACCCCCCCAGGATAAAAAAGTGATTCACTGTCCTCTCAAAACCTATCAAAACCTTCGGGCGCTTGGTTGGGGGTCCTTTAGAAACAATTATTACGAGGGGTCCTTAGGCATAAACTGTTTAAAAGATAATGTAACACCGGGGGGTCTGGGGGGTATGGAATACCCCCCCAGGATAAAAGAAGTGATTCACTGTCCTCTCAAAACCTTCGGGCACTTGGCTGGGGAGTCTTTTAGAAACAATTATTACGAGGAGTCCTTAGGCATAAACTGTTTAAAAGATAATGTAACACCGGGGGATCTGGGGGGTATGGAATGCCCCCCAGGATAAAAGAAGTGATTCACTGTCCTCTCAACACCTATCAAAACCTTCGGGCCCTTGGTTGGGGAGTCTTTTAGAAACAATTATTACGAGGAGTCCTTAGGGATCAACTGTTTAAAAGATACTGTAACACTGGGGGGGTATGGAATACCCCCCAGGCTAAAAGAAGTGATTCACTGTCCTCTCAAAACCTATCAAAACCTTCAGGCGCTTGGCTGGGGGGTCCTTTAGAAACAATTATTACGAGGGGTCCTTAGGCATAAACTGTTTAAAAGATAATGTAACACCGGGGGGTCTGGGGGGTATGGAATATACCCCCAGGGATAAAAGAAGTGATTCAGCTGTCCTCTCAAAACCTTGGGCGCTTGCTGGGGGGTCCGTTTTAGAAACAATTTATTACGAGGAGGGTCCTTAGGCATAAGACTGCTTTTAAAAGATAATGTAACACCGGGGGATCTGGGGGGTATGGAATGCCCCCCAGGATAAAAGAAGTGATTCATTGTCCTCTCAACACCTATCAAAACCTTCGGGCACTTGGCTGGGGGGTCTTTTAGAAACAATTATTACGAGGAGTCCTTAGGGATAAACTGTTTAAAAGATACTGTAACACCGGGGGATCTGGGGGGTATGGAATGCCCCCCAGGATAAAAGAAGTGATTCATTGTCCTCTCAACACCTATCAAAACCTTCGGGCACTTGGCTGGGGGGTCTTTTAGAAACAATTATTACGAGGAGTCCTTAGGGATAAACTGTTTAAAAGATACTGTAACACTGGGGGGTCTGAGGGGTATGGAATACCCCCCAGGATAAAAGAAGTGATTCACTGTCCTCTCAAAACATATCAAAACCTTCAGGCGCTTGGCTGGGGGGTCTTTTAGAAACAATTATTACGAGGGGTGCTTAGGCATAAACTGTTTAAAACATACTGTAACACCGGGGGGTCTGGAGGGTATGGAATACCCCCCAGGATAAAAGAAGTGATTCACTGTCCTCTCAAAACCTATCAAAATCTTCGAGCGCGTGGCTGGGGGTATTCCATACCCCCCAAACCCCCCTGTCCTACATTCCTCACCAAACCGAATAGTGCCCTGTGCTCATAGTAATTTTTGGATAGGGTCAGAACGTGGTTCTGGGAGGGGGGGGGGTATATGGCATATATGGAATCTCCGCTCAGTAAAAAAGGATTGATTCAATTTCCTTTTCCCTACACCTATCATAACTTGACACGAGTGGGGGGGGGGGGGATTCCTACTTGATGAACTATTACCCTAAGGCAAAGTCAGCGTTCTTGGTAATTGCCGGCGATGTTAATAAGTGTTATAATTAGATGCGCGTATTGCAAATCCATTTTCACGGAAATTTCAGTACACCCCAAAATGGCGCTAATTAATTAAGTCGGCCATCT